ATGAATTATACATTATATATATAATGTATAATTCATCACAGTTAACTGTTCAACTGCAAACAAAATCCACCTTCCACCCTCTCAGACTTTGAGGATCACATTTCTACAACAAAAAGCCGGGTTCCGGAGGCACTGGCCAAACGCGAAGACTTGATTAAACGATTGACAGCTGTCGAGGGGAGTGTGCAAGATCTCAAAACTCAAGCTGAACAGGAGCTCTTCGTGGCAGCCGCACTAAAGAATCGTACGGACCAGCTGCAAGCGCTTCTGAACACCTTGGACGATAAGGTATGTAATGTGCAACAAGGTTTTATTTATAAGTCCGGGTGTACTGTTGTTCTATAGAATTATTCATGGCCTTGGTGACCCGTGCAACATGTACGTATTTGGAAACGTCCTGGGAGAACTGCCTAGGCAATCTAGCATTCAACTAATGGTCGAAATCGATCTAGCTATATTGCTGACCTAGCAGCATTTTGAAGAATTTTCCTAGATATCTCGCATCGTCTCCAGCGTCGGCTGTTTGAAACATTCCCCCACTTCTTCTTTACGCTGCACAGTAACAGAACGTTGCTTCCTGTGGAAGCCTATCAACAGTCATTCTTTGACCCAACCGCCCGTCATGTGAGAGGGGACCCATGGCTATTTTTCTGCGGCATTGTGTGTAGGCGGGATTCCCGTCACACAAAACGATCTCTGTGCGATCCTAGACGGCCATCCCCTTGAAGCAAAGTCGGCATATTTTGTGCTCAGCAAGATACTGTGATGGTCACCCGGTTTTTCTTTTAATTGTTAGTCGAGTCTTACCTTACAGTCAACAACTTTGTACGGTAGGCCGATCAGTTCAAAAGTCTTATGCTCAGCAAGTCGGAAGTAAAATTCATAGCTTGCCATGAAAGTGTGACGTTTTGATGTGTTTGTCCTGGGTGTGGTCGAACACCGGTTTGTCATGCTTCTACCGGTGAAAGGAAGAAGGCCTTCGCTGCGGAGTTATTTATTAGTAAATGCCAACTGAACAGTTACAGACTATTGGACAGGGAAGCAAAACCCTCACATGCATCTTGTTTACAAAAAACTGGATATACATCTTCTCTTTGAATGCTTCTTCTTGAACTTTCCTGGATATTCATTGACTGTTGCTCAAGTCCAAGCAAATGCTACAAAGCGACTCCACAAATTCTGTAATAGACGCAAAGTGGATTTACGAGAAAACATACTACTCGTATGCCTCCCCAATCAGTAGTATCACCGTTACACCGGCAGGCTCATCGGACCAGATGATTTGCACGAGGACGCTGTCATGTTCCAGATGGGATCATCATCATCATCATCATGTTGAGGACTTAAATAACAAACTCATGGTTGCATCTGTATGGGCAACCCGTCTGATATGTGCAGCTTACTTGGTCAATAGAGAGCCACCTATCGCCAGCCCACGTTGTATATGAGCGAAATTCATCAGATCACAGTACTGCGATACAGTCAATCAAGTGAATCGTTCAAGTTTCACGTGGTTTACTTCTGCCAACATTCAGAGGAAGGGTGAATTTATTAAGTTGGAGATTAAAGCGAATCGGTAGATGTTTCCGCGAAAGAACTGGGGGTCCGTGAGGATGGAAAAACGAAAGAGGACAAGCCGCCCGGACGTATGAAGTGCACTCATTTATACATCATTTAGTTTTGACGGCGGGAATCATCTGGATTCCAGCTCAATCTCTCTTTTATGGTATACTTCAACTGTACATAAACCGCCTCATGTTCCAGTTTGTACAACACTCAAGGTATTCGCGGACACTACTCACAATGTTGCGGAAAACTCTTCTACCGCTCACCACCGGGTTCGGCCTTTTTGGGGCGCAGTTCTCGAGTTTTCGTCCGCCTTATGTTCCATTTGAACTCAAACTGTACGAAGTCTGCAGCAGGATGTGATGGGGGTGTTGTGAATAGGTCAGTGAGAATAGTTTCACTATGAATGGTTTAATTGGCTACATAGAGTATTGCGATTACGTTTGAAAGCAAAAACGGTTTCCAGTAGGCAGGACTACAGTGGCCACGTTCTGTCATGATTTGGGCCGCAGGTTTTGCAAGCGAAAGAAATCAGATAGGCCTTGAAGTCTGCAAGCAAACGATGGTGGAATACGTCACCACTCTCAACCAAGAGCGCCTCCCCCAGACATTCGATAGGTGCTCTGGTTGACTGGTACTCCGACCTCACATCATTTCGACCTATCCGGACTGTGCTCAGTTTCGTGAATCATTGCTGGGGCCTCTTCCCTTCGGTCTGGGGAATACGCATTCCGCAAAATCAAGACCGCTATTGCAACAAACCTGAACACTTGCGCTATAACTCATGTCAGATCCTTTTAAGTGAGAAGATGAACAAAAAAACCAGTTATTTCAAGTTTTGAGTAAGTGACATTCCAAATTCAATGAGTACAATTTGACAAACAGCCGAAATCCCGAAGGATAGTAGCATTCCTCTCAGTATTTCCGCCCCTAATGACCTTAAAACCCGATTACGATTGTCAGAAGCATAGTTAGAACTGATCTTAGGTTTGCTGGTATCAAATCTTATACCCGTTCTAATCTGCTTCGTGACTAAATAAATTCATAAAATCGACACTCTGTATCATTACCAATATGGCACTCAATCTACGCCGCTTGCTAATTTCATTAGGCAAACAAGTTAGTTGGAAGTCACCGCTGCTCCATAAAGTTGTCATATCTGCTTGTATACGGACACAGAATGATGTGGATGCGTCTGTATTTTTTTGACGTCGGCTTGTGATATCCCCATTCCACTTGTGAGTAAGTCAGCAGTAAGCCCAAAAACTTCGATAAACTCACGTGGTTCAAGTCGGCCTTGGGGTGAGCAGTGGCGCCGACTTCTGGTGAGTCTGTTAGCCACACATAGGGATGGCATGCCTATTTCGTAAGCTTGGTTGGCTTGGTAACGCAGCTTGACCTAACCAACTTTATCTCGGGGAATGAATTAAAACTACATTGTTGGTAGTGTGAGGAGATTTGTGGTTGAACGAATCCATTTTCAAAGGGACCAACGAATCCACAATCACCTTCTATGGTTGAACGAATCCATTTTCAAAAAGACCGATTTTTTAATCCGTTGCAGACCAGAACGAACCAGGATCGCTTGTGGCTTGTGTTTGACCCAAATAGAAACTCAATTTGAAAGAGTACCGAGGCTTTTTTATTTATAATCCATTAGGCAGCCTCTATTTTAGTTGCTGATTCGTTTGGGACTTTGTTTCTCCTGTGACAAGTCAGAGTTCTTTCAAATGACATCGAGAAGGCGGAGGTGGGAGGTGCAATAAATCAGACCTGAAGAAGAATCTGATGAGTTGATCATAAAGTAGGACCAACGAATAAGAAACTGTGTGTGCTTGAACCTAGGTGCGAACCGAGCTCTCCAACTGTGAATTATCGAAGTAACTTACCACTGTTTGGTCCATTGTTGAACTCACATAAGTGCTCACTACGTGTACTAACAGATCCCAACCTTGAATCCTTTAGACGGCGAACCAATGTGCGATATAGCTGTATATACAAGGCCGTGACCGGCATCCGCCACAGATGAGTTGGTACAACACTCCCTTTGGAAGCTAAGGCGGGATTGACACCCGTCGTCAGGCATCTTTTCCACCCGCAACAACCACACTCTAGTTTTCCTCATTCTCCTTTGCCAACTAAACGGATTTGAAATCAGATACAATGTATATTTTGCTTTTTTTCCCCCAGATCGATCAGGCAACAAACCACAGTGAGGCAAACAGAGACCGATTAAGGGAAATGCAAAGGCAACATGACGAACAGATACTGCCCAAAGTGAAGGAAGCCACACGCGCGGTGGAGGAGTTAGATGAGCAGGCCACAACTGTCATAGACGCCGTGACAGTGACCCAAGGAGAAGTGAAGAAAATGATGGAGAACGCCGCCGATATGTTGCAGCGAATGAAAAAGTTGAAAGCACAGCTGAGTAAGTTGGTACACGGGAATGGCCGGAATATCAACCAAGGGGAATATGAATGGGTGAGAGATCACGAAGAGTTTGGGTGTTGTTGGTGTTGTACACCTTCTAGGATGGAGTCCCCGTGGCCCCGTCTGCGCTTGGCTGGAAACGTTGCAAGAAATGACAGCTAATCGATGTCAGTGGCGTTCGTGCTCTCAGTTTGTTTCCAGATTGTCTGATTGATCGGTTGGAAGTGTAGCTGCCTCAGAATGCTTGACATAGGCCAGCTTTAGGTCTCCTCATCTACCCACTTCTTTTTCGGTTCTTCTATCCTTCTCTGTTCTTCTTCTGTTCTGGCGTCAGTGCCAACACTGATGTTGCTGTCTTTGATGATGATGACGGGTGAGATGGAACAGCCTACATTTCAGAGCAAGCCGTATTACCACAAGACTGGTGTATTCGGTTGAACTAACGATTTCTCTGCGAACGTCAGAAGTGCGCTCGATTCAGGTCAACGGAGTTCGAAGCGTGGAGCCACGGGAGATTTAGCTCCGTGGCCGTTTGGGTAGCGATTAAGTCGAACACATGTCAGTATCAAAAGACCTGGCAAGAATGACTTCATGCGCTAGCCATAAGTTGACGTTATTTGTAGCGACACACGCTCAAAACCTGATGATCGGTTCCGACCATGCAGAGGAACCTCACCATCACCGTGTCTTGTCACGCAGGTTGTGGATCAACCAATTCCGCTCAAGCTCATGATCTTCCCCAGATCCGTTTCACTGTTTTAGGCAGTGCTCTGCCGATGGAGGCTCTTTAGCCAAGTGACGATAAACACTAGTAACTAGGACGCGATTGTGTAACTTTACACAGCTGTTGTATCAGATGTTGAGAGAGATGTTTGCCACAATCGGCCAAACGAGAAAGTTGGTGACAACAGCCTTATTATTAATATTATTACTGTTGTAATAGAAAACTCGCCAGGTTCAATTACTGTTCAATAAAGGAGAAAGAATGCTCTAGTAAAGATTCTATGAAGACAGGATGGGCGTGAACTCAGTGTCTGTGTTCTTTTTGGAAACTATTAGCGTCCTTAGCTAACATTATCGGACAGAACCCAAGCCGCCATGTCAGGAACCGGTACTGTGCTGGTTTCCTTGATCGATTATGCGCCATTTTCAACACGGTTTCCTTCCGCATGCGAGATGAATCACATGTACCCCAGCCAAGTGGACAAGCCTCCGAGCCTCTAGGGTTGCTGATGTGAACAGTGCACCATGAGGGATAAACATCAAATCCTTTTCAATGCTTTTGAGGCGAGGTCTTGCAGGACCTTTGGAATTATTGATGACAACAAAAAGACGCGTGTATTTTCGCTTCCCCTCTCTGTTGTTTTTTCCAAATCTAGCTGAATCCGCAGGCGGAGAATCGGCCGTCCCCGTGAATGGAGAAGATGCTGCCACTCGATTCGCCAAATTGAAGGCATCTTTTGAAGAATTACGCATCACCGAACGGTTAGAGCAATTGAGAAGATTGAATGAGTCGCGATCGATTGAAATAGCTTTTATGCGCAAAGAGTTGGGTGAATTCCAAGCCCATTACAAACATTTGGTTGTGGTTAATGGTCTGTTACCGACAAAAGATCTGAATTGCTTCTATTCTGGAAAAGAGATTGAGGGAGACACCCCTGCAGTTCGGCCATCACGCACGTAAGCAATGGTTGCTTGGGGCCGAAGCAAGTCATCGCAACTACCGTCTGTCTTCCCCTACATTTTGCCCATCTACTGTGGGGATCTATCACCCTTGAAATAGATACCATGTATGGTCAAAAATGCCCTACTCATAGCTTAATTAAGTAACTGTGTTTCGTGCCATGTGACCAACATCAACTACGTATTGACATAATTAAAATAGGAATAAAGAATTACCCCAACATGCTTGATTTTCGTCCATTTTTGCTTGTTTGAAAACAATGGACGCGACAAATTAGCATATTTTCCCTTACGTCCCGCTACTAGTGCCTTGCAATTGTCCATAAATAGGTCAAATTTTATATATTACTCATGTTTTTCTTATCACACTCATTTTTTCATGCATCTCATCTATTCTGTATTTGTTTTTTGTTTGAATTTTGCTGTTTGGGGAATAAAACGTATGGCTAACAGTACTTACCTCTGTGTTCGTGACGTGTGACAACCAGGTGGGTAAACTGGATCGCTTCTTAATTTTATTCCACGACAGCCCATGACCGGTTTCGCCCTTCTTCGGGCTCATTGGGTGGGCGCGGTCCCCGAGTTTTCCTCAACCTTATGTTCTACTTGAACCCAAATAGGACTGTTTTCGAGAAATACACTCATTTACAAATCAATTTGATTTTCACAAGAAACTCAACTGAATATCATAAACGAGAGATTCAGTTGAGTCTCTCGTGAAAACCAAGTTGATTTGCAAATGAGTGTATTTCTCGCAAACAGTCCTATTTGGGTTCAAGTAGAACATAAGGTTGAGGAAAACTCGGGGACCGCGCCCACCCAATGAGCCCGAAGAAGGGCGAAACCGGTCATGGGCTGTCGTGGAATAAAATTAAGAAGCGATCCAGTTTACCCACCTGGTTGTCACACGTCACGGTTCCAACTAAAACATGAGTCGGCCTGTGTGCAGCACATTTAGTTGTAGAATATCATAAACGAGAGATTCAGTTGAGTCTCTCGTGAAAACCAAGTTGATTTGCAAATGAGTGTGTTTCCCGAAAACAGTCCAATTCGGGAAAGCCGACAAGTGCCGTACGCCTGTTTCCCCGATACTGAGAACAGTTAGCACAGCCATCTTACGAATCTCTAGTGTGAATTGAACCTGTTGGTAGCGGAACACCATACACTCCGGCCACGAGTGCCTGATCAGCAGTGTGACTACCTCACGCTTAGACGGAAGGCAGCACAACGCACCTCAGTCACACATTTACGTCCATTGATCCGATGTTGGCGTGCTCCAACTCCCCAGGTGGAAGTCCCATGGGACTTATGATTTTAGATTTTCCAAACCTTGTGGTTTGTGGGGAGTAGACGGATTTCGGGGTCCAATTTCAAATTGTATTCTGTCGCCAACCTGCTCAGAGGAAATCACATTGGCCTTCAGTTTGTCTGAACGATCATGGTACACTGTCATTTCTAGGAACGAGGTAATCACTCAAAGGATTTTCACCCATGGCTGAGTAGCAGTGTTCGTTCTCTTCTCGAAAGACAGCCAGAGACTCACAAAATATCTACGATGCTGACTTCAAACCAGGAGGAATCAACCATGCAATATCCCTTGGCTTCTCTACCCAGAACGTTTTCACTGGCGGGATAAGTTCACAGTAGGAACTCCGAAATCCGGCCACAGGTTAAGGGTCAACTTTGTCAGTGAGTATAGTTCACATTGCACACGCCGATGGGGGATACCCTTCAAAAGCAACACACACTCAAACATCCCTGCCTTATCTGCAGCACATTGCTGAAATATTCAACAAAACTAAGACAAATTCAAAATCCTGACGAAGTAGACTTTTCCAAGATTGACCACCCTGAGATGTTATTCCTCACAAATGAGTTCTTTTTATCCAATCGTATCCCCTCAAATTTTACAAAATAACCTGGGATAGGTGACGAATCTTGTCTCTTTCATTGTCGTTCTCAGTAAAAAATGATGGTGTGTCTGCAAGGCGACAGGAGAACCATATGGAACCAAAGATGACACTAATGAATGTCAAAATTCAAGAAAAAAGACTGGCTTGACTGTGGCAGTTAAAACTAGAGTTATCGTGTGATAGGACCGAAGTTTAGTCTCATAGGTATGATGTATAATATAGCGTACCAGTGGACAGCGGTCCATACATTTTTCTTCGGGTGACACTGAACTCCTAGCGACGATTTTCGTTCATTGTTTAGTTCACCACAGGTACGCGAAATTCCCTAATATGGCACGATCCCCCAAAAGAAAACACCAAGAGGAAAGAAATTTCCAGATGCTCTTCGAAATGGGAAAAGCTTTCTTAGCCTCCCTGAAAAGATTATCGTCACTTAAAAGGGACTAATTTGAAGAAATCACTGTAATTGTGATGAATACCCTTGGACATGACGCTCCTCACTTCAGTTTTGTCCCTTTTAAAAGAGTCTCAACCTCAGACTGGTGCCCTGATTTTATCCACTTTTCATGGAACACTCCTGTTGGACTGTTCCAGATTGGCACACTGAATAACTGAACGATACTGGTGGCTCATTACTGAGCAATTAGGCAAGTTCACCTTCACTGACCATATTTTAGAATTCCCTGTTGATTTCCTTGCGTTTCAAGGACAAATATCTCCCGTGCGGTATCTGGAGAATAGCTGATCACGGATAACCATGCAGATTAGTTATTAGCTTGGATGCTTTCCATACTGTTTTGGCTTTCGAACTAAAGACCAATCGAGTTGCTCCCAGGCCTCGCTGATTGGTGGTTGGTCTTCATCGCTGGCGTATAAAACCCCACAATCACAGTAAATTGTGCTTTGAGTACGAGATATCTCGCATTGTTTCTTACTTGTCCAAGTAAACGAAGAAATATTGAGCCCTAAAATTTCAGGTTATCGTGATTATCCATCAGAAGTGAAGTGGTGAATCCTGTGGTCCGGTTACGCTGACTGCCTTGCAGACGGTAACGATTATACGATCAATACTACGGCCGTGAGAACTACTGTACACTGGAACCGTTCTGTTGATCAAATACATTTGCTATGCCCGAAAGGATGGATAAAAACTTCCTATACGTTCTGATTTAAAGGTGAAATGCTGGTGACTTAGTTTTACTCAACAGTAATAAAAGAAGCAGAGAGTTGGCCAACCCTTGACCTGACAGGGTGAGAATGAATATCACGAAACGCTTGGGTGCTATTGGTGCTACTCGCCCACCAGAATGAGGATAACGTGATTCCCACTGCTCCTGGTTGGATACGCTGCAAGATATGGCTGCTAATCAATGTCAGTGGCGTTCTTGTCATCAGCTGCTATCCAGATCGCCTGAATGAATGTTTGGGGGTGTAGGCACCTCGGAACGATTATAGTAAGCTAGCCATAAGTCCCTGCCCTGTCTACCTTTATTCTTTTCTTCACAATAAGGCTTTCAAAANCACAATAAGGCTTTCAAATAAATCATCGTTTTACGGTGGCGAAGCATCAGTGTTGAACACAGATGTCATACACTTCATGATGATGATGATCTGAATAGATATGTTCTTTCAACGCAGTATTTAGTACAGTAGCTCTGGTATCGCTTACGTACCGTACAACTTTACCCATTTCGAAACTATCAGACTACTACAATAAGAGCCTGGCTTCAAGTTCCATCATATCGATCCGAATGAGGAATTAATCACCCTTGGAAGTTCAACACCTTCGAGAAACTTATCGATACTTTAAAATGATGCACTTTCTACTGGTTTGTTCAACTGGACTTCTTCGTTAGTGGTGAAGTGTCAGCAAAACCGGTGTTTGCAGACAATATTTCTGAATCTTTTCAAATATTTTGTGGTCCTCTTGCTTATTTTCGCCTAGCTGTAACCTGATCCCTTAGGATAGTCTCGTTAGGACGTAACACCGTCCCCATGTGCTTCTTCAGTAAACCAGAGTAGCGTAATCCGATAGTGCAAAAAATGACATACCTAAGAGCTTGCTTTCAAGTTTTTTCATACTGCAGTAGCTGACTACTGCGTCACAAACAAGTACCGTTGTATGAAAAAGATTACACATATTTCGACAAATCATAAGAGAAACACTGTGAATAAAGCAAGCTGTTCAAGATGTCTGACTGCATGGCGCGGTAGCCTGATTTTGCCTGGCAACTGGCTACACGACCAGAGTACACAACATCCAGTTGCCCTGGCAAGCTTCGACAGTGCTCACCCGTATGTGTGCTTGCGTGTATGAGACTTTTCGTTGTACGCATGAGCGATGTTAAGCAACAGAGCAACCGGCCATATAACTACTACAATCATCAATTGGTTATCGATTAGTTCGAATTAGTCTGTAGTTGTCACTTTTCCCGTATCAGAGAGTCTGGGCGAAACGCCACATAGCAAGTAAGTAGATTCTGATTATACTCGGTGAAAGTCTAAACGGGAAAGTTCATTACCCTTCGCACTATATCCACACTGAGCAGTGTCTTGAAAATAAAACTCGTTAAATAAAACCCATCTAGTGAATTCTAGGTATCAATTTAGTTTGAGACTGACGTGGTTCACAGGTATGCATAACCCTAAATAACGAGAAAAAACGTGACACAACAGTTTACATGTTTGGCAGCTTAGACTAAACCGTTAGTTCTTCCAGTCTGGTAATCGACTGATTACGTCAGCTACGCCGCAGAATTGGTGGCTGGGTGGAAGTTAGGATTTCGGGTTTATCAGGAAGAGCAGAATCCTGAAAGTGACCTCAGAACGCCAGGAACCTACTGCTCCACCAAAATCTCGACAGAAAAGCCGGCAAGCATCCAGGCCAGTTAATCATTCAATCAATTCAGCAAAAGCCAATGAGTCCTCATGCATGCCACAGAAGCACGACCGAATGTGATCAGCGTTCAGGCGTTTCATAGGGGCACGGTCGATGTTGATGGGTGTTCAATAACGCCCATCATACAGCCTGGACCAATGCCAGAAAGTCCCCTTTAAATAGCGTGAGGCCGTTGTGACTTTTGC